TGTTCTGCCATGTCATTTGGTTATTTCAAATTCTCATCGCTACTTAGAATTTAACAAATAAATTATTTTATTGTTTTTCACATTTTGAAAAAGAGAGAATTAATTGAGAGCTCCCGAATTGAACAATTTTAAATTGAAAGAATAATTATTGGCAGATTATATATAAACAAGTCACAACTAACAACTCACCATGTAAACACTGCTGTGATTTCATATATATGAAAATTCTTTATAATTTTCATGCTTTGTACAGCAATAACACAGTAAATTAAAATTGTTCTGCCACCATAAAATTAATATTTTTCGTTGTGTATTATTTTTTGAAACTTGGTAAAAATGATAACCAGATTCTTAAATTCTATTGAAACTGTATGAAGATATTAGAACAATGTTTTCTTTTATTTAATTCCCACTTGTGAATATATTAATGCCATCATTGTACTTATGAGAGAATGATATAATTCAGGTAAAAATGAATGATGATATGATTCATTTAGACTGTATCAGTTACTAGTATACTATTGGTTTAGCTACTGGAATATTTCTTTAACATTAATTTTTTTTTTGCATGCAGATTCTTATTAATGGTGCACTATTCACTGTTACATCTGACTTGGAAAGCATAATCATGTCACTGGTGCAGGAAAATTATGCTAAATTTACTGTTGCTGTTTTAAAAAATGAAAAAACTAGTTCTATGGTAAGCAGCAAAGTGATACAGAAGGCAGCCGACGAATGTCAGGGTTTGTGTGCAGTAAATAAATCTATTCTACAGAAAAATGGAACAACATCTTTAGAGTCATTCACATGGAGCAAAGTTATGGATGAATGGACTGAGATGGCACCAACATTTAAAGAATTTATTTTAAAATGTGGTAAGTATTTTGATTAAAATACTACCCACTGTTTCCAGAGGGCACTATACTCATCTTACCCTGTCAGGCTATATCATATGTGTATATTTTGTTGGTGTTGGTGATTGAGTGGTGCACTCGCCAGACTGCTAGCGCCACTCACACCAACTTGTTAGGCTAGTGTAGGGTGAGATTGTAAAAGTATTTCTGTGCAATGTTTTATGTAGAATGATCAAAACACACATGAATATTGTTTTTTACTAGTTTTTCTTTATTATGCGGATATTGGTGATGATGATTAGTATCATGGTTATTTTTTATAATAATTCATTATTGTTGCAAACCCATATACAACAAATATTTTGCAAATTTACAGGTGTATCTAAGAGGGCTGCATCAAATGACACAAAGAAGATAGCACAGAGAGAGTGTAAATTGGTCATGGCTGGATGTTTACTATTATTTGCAAGATCCAACAAAATGAGTGCTGCTCAGTATTTTAATAGTCTGATCATGGCTGGTGGGAACTGTGATGCTATGGTAAATGGAATTTTATTTTATTTTAAGAGTTTAATTTAATCAAACATTTATAGTGTAATATAAATATTGCATATTTTTTACCATTATTTTCCTAAATACAAATGAGCATTTGTTGTCTGTTGAACCAATGACAACAATGATTTGATGGATAGTTTTCGTCTGATGTATTTTTTCTTATTCATAATTATTTTTTTTATCTTTCAAAGGTGTACAGAAGACTAAATGCTATTGGTGTCTGTATGTCACATACATCTGTGATGAACAAGTTAGATAATTTTACAGCTATATGTGATAAACCTGTCAGAAGATGGAAATCTGATATAGAACAACAGTGTATTGGTGTTACTGCTACTGTACAAACAGAGAGCAGTATTAGTGCAGGCTATTCGGTCGTATTTGATAATCTTGACTTGAACAAGAAGGCCCGACATATGACTGGAGAACACAGAAATCAAGACTTTCACTTTGTCAACACTTACGCAGTTAAAGATCGTGTAAACTGTGAAAACCTGCCAGACGATGCTCCAATCTGTGACATCTTGAAATTGCCAAACACTGTATTTCTACCAACCGCAGCAGATCATAAAGCATTAAAATCTGACTTTGCAGAAATAATCATCAGAATTATTGTACAGGAGATGTCTTTTTTTACTAAACATTTCAGTAATACTATGGTACGTCATATACCGCACACATACTCGGAAGAGTCATCTGTAAAGTCTGAATTGGTAAGTTCATGAAACAAGTGATATTATATTGCTATACGTGGGAATACAACATGATGGTATATCCATTGTACGCATGTGTATTATATTCAAGAAATATTTTACTGATTTTACTGATTTGGTTTCTCTCAAACTGGCTCATTTTGTGTTAAACTCAATTGCCACTTTTATTAAAAACTGCCATTTTTTTCATACCTTCTGAAAACTATTTCAAATTTGTTATGAATTCAGATTTATTTGTATTGATTGTTAACAAGTTTTTAATTCATTTAAAGTTGTCATATTTTCTTTGCCAAACACCAGAACTATTTCATACATCTTGCTGATGGAAGTGATTTTTATGTCATTGAAATGTTTTTGTTTTTTTTCTTATTACTGGTAATTTTAATTCAAGATCCCTCTTGGAATACTTATAAAGAATGAGTGCAAAACAGATGAGTGTATAGACGTGCTCAAGTTTCTTCACCAGTATGTACCTGGTTCGAGTTATCAGAACCAAGATGTTCCTCCCCCCAACAATGACAGTCTGAGTGAAGATGAAAGAACTGATGTTACAGTCAGTGGAGACAGGGAGTCTGATGAATCTGTGAATGTTGATAGTCCACTCAGCATATCAGAGTACGCTGAAATCACAAAGTTAGTATTATATACATTTTAGTATTTATGGGTTATTTTTCAAAAATTTGATTTTGTGTAATGGATCATAGGATAGCCTGACAGGGTAGCAGCTTCTGTTGACTACTCATGCTACCCTGTCATGCTATTTGTGGAACTGTTTTTAATTTATTACAAAAGCATTTATATATCAAATACCAATGCCAAGTATCTTTGTCTTAGTATTACCGTAATGCCTGAAGTCATTCTTGTACTTTGCTGAACTCTGTTTCTTTTATAAATTTCAGTGAGAATTGTGAACATGGTCCACTTAAGAAGATTGTTTGTACTGGTGATCAGTTAAGCGTTGAGAGAGCAGTCAATGCATAAGAATGTGTCATGTTCCAGAGGACACCAAGTGATAGATTAGAGGGACTTGAGATGAAAATAGCAGACTGGCATGCCGATAAAATCTATTTAGAGGCAAGTTCAGTTGTGTCCAAAACATCCTTTTGGCACAAGCAAATATGTGTCTATATATATTTCACCATACCCATACTATTTATCTGCATTACACTGCTAATACCACTCTGCAAAAAAAAACTAAACACAGGTCATATAAAAAAGACAAAATATAAAAATTAATAAAACCTATTGGAAATTTATGCTATTGTTTCAATGTCGAATTTCACACAACTAATATAAATATAAACAAGATTCTGGTTATTCTGTTTTCAATAACTGATGTGTGCCTGTGATTTAATAACATTGTTATTAAAATCCACAATTGTCTTGCTAGTTTTTTTCCCAAAAATCATCAAACGGTCAGTGCAGTCACATAAGTTTAACTGATGTGCATGATGGACACCAGAAACATGAATATTTTCTTCTTAGCTTAATTGCTGTTTTTTGACTCCCATGTGCGAAGCACAAAATGGGAGTCTTTGCAGTTAGTGTGTCTGTATGTGTCTGTGTGTGTATGTGTGTATGTGTGTGTGTGTGTGTGTGTGTGTGTGTCCGAC